TCCTCCTCCTCCTCCTCCTCATCTTCCTCCTCCTCCTCTTCCTCCTCCTCCTCCTCATCATCCTCCTCCGCCTGTAGGAGGGCATGCCCGACCTAAGCCTAGCCCCAGCCCCTCCTTCCCAATCTTCAGGGATTCGAGGCTCCTTCTCCTCGTCCTCCTCCTCCTCCTCCTCCTCCTCCTCCTCCTCCTCCTCTTCCCTCCCCTCCTTCGTTCGTCGCCGTCGTCTGCCTGCTTCCCCCCTCCTACACCTCCTGCATCGCCGGGCAGCAGAGCCTGGCCCTGGAGCACCGTGGAGCTTCTTAGGATGGGGCGTATGAGTCCAGGGCGCGCCTGTTCTGGGGTATGTTCCCAGACCCCCGACGTCGTGCCGTTCGCTTGCAACGTCGACCGCCAAAGGTCTGGACCCCTTCCCCGGGACCAGCTTCTCATCCCGAGTGGTTGTTTGACGGTCCTGGAGCCCTCGGCGAAGGCCCCCTGACGCCGAGAATGGCCAAATACCTCCCACCCGTGTTTGTTTTACGACGCGAGCGGGGTCTAGGTTTGGCCTCCCCTAACGCCTGCGCCACGCGGGAGCAGCGTGAATCTCTCAGGACGGGGCGTACCCTGAGATCCGACGTAGCGAAAACATGCAACACCGTTATATGTACACACATCTATGTAAGCACAAAAACACGTCAGGAGCCCTAGACCCATCCTTGTGCATCATCTTCAAAACCGGATCCATCTGTGGGGGTCCCGGGGCCCGAACAGAATGCGAGAACGCCCGGTTCGGAAAAATTGCAACGCCAGGATCCTAGGGTTCGCCTGCTCGGGGGTACGTTTGGCCTCCCCTGACGCCTGCGCCACGCGGGAGCCGCCCTTCGCCAGCACGGCCCGCTCGTTGGCCATCCACCGCACGGGCGCGTCGCAGAGCGGGCACTGCGGCCACTCGTCCGCCCCGACGCGCCGGGCGCAGCACGAGCACACCAGGCACTTGCAAGGGTGCAGGCGGTGGGCTGGGCGCGAATGAAGGCATGGGGAGAGACGGAAGGTGCCCTTTTCGGGCCCTGCAGGCCCCCTTCTGTCGGGAGCGACCAAGAGGGGGGTGCCCAAAAGGGGCGCGTGCAAATCATGACGGGCGCCATGTGCGCGGCCCAGCGGGGGGGCCAGGGACGTCATGAAACAAGAAGAGGCGCCCTGAAATCTATAGGGAGATAGCATGGCCCCCGCCATGAGATCCCCCCCCCTAGTCGTCACCCCCCTCTTTTCCGCCCCCGATTCTGGGATGGCACCTTCAGGGGCCCCCTCGGGGGCCAATTTTCTGCAGCCCTCGCTGCCCCCCCCCCAGCTCTCCCCCCTCCCCAATGGTACTCGCGCCCAGGGTGGTCCGCCGCGAGCGCCGCCGGGCCATCGCTGGCCTGTGAGAAGCATTTCATTCACCCAGACCCCCTCGCGCTGTGACAGAAATCACGACGGGAAGCTTGTCGCTGTTGTCGGCATCCAGGGGCCCTCACCGGGCTTCGGGACCGCCAACGAACGACTCAGGATGAAACACTGGTCCCAGGGAAGGTGTCCAGACCTCTGGGGGTCGACGTGGTGGACAAAATCAGAACGTCGGGGGTCCGGGCATTCAACCCGTATAAGAAGGACGGACGACAAGGATGCATGGGCCTTGGAAGGCCATGCCGACACTTTGCGAGCGGGACGCGGTCAGCGAGCGCAGCCAAGGATGGGTTGAAGGGGAAGGATGCAAGGGTAGCCTTGAAAAGGTTTTCGTCCATACTATGTGCGGTGACTGTCTCCCCACTGGCGGGGCCTTGGCCCAGTTGTCCGATTTACCCCCCCTCCACATGGGGATGTAGGCTGCTCCCTTCGAGTCACGAGGGGCATGTCCCCAACTGGGGTGGTGGGACGGGTGCGGTCGGGACTAGTAAGGCAAGGGCTGGCGGACACCCCACGCGGCAACCAGCCCCAACACACCCGCCACACAAGTGGACGCTTAGCACGTGCACACCAACACATGTTGACGCGAAGAGCTTTCACATCAACACGTGTTGACGTGAAGGCCCCTCACATCAACACGTGTTGACGTGATGGCCCGTCACGTCAACACGTGTTGGTGTGGGGGGGGGGCGCCGTCAACAAGAAAACATGCCATTTCATCAACTCTAGTCCTGCACACCGCATTGATTTACACGATAACACACCGTGATAGGCGTTACTAACTCGTCTGCGAATCCATATCGGTTTGACCAGCGTAGGCTTCCTCTGAACTTCACAGGTAGAATGTGCAGCGCGCCTCCTGATGGACCCTGGATCAGCGAATCTCCCGCACGGATCTGCAGCGGCGGCCGAACATTGCAGTGACAGACGCTCGTTATTCCTCCTCCTCCTCTCAATCCTCCGCCACCCCCATCGTCCTCCCTCTCACTGACCCTCCGCATTTTCATCTTCCGAATCTTATCCAGCAGGTACTCTCGGTGTTACCCATCATCTGACTAGCCATCCTCCATCCCCCATTGGCTCATCTTGATCACCATCATTATCATTCAATGTGTTCTTATAGTGTCAACTCCAACCCCCATTTCTCGCATATCCCTCAGTATATATATCTCGCGTCATGTGTCCTGTCTCCTCGTTGCCGCACCCTCCGAATTACTAACTGATCCTCCCCCGTTTACCCTCAATCACCCATCCATCCATCCATCCATCATCCCGTCATCCACATCTTACTTTTACGCATCTTCGTCCCTCCCCTGATCCTCCACTCCTCCGTGACCATCCGTATGCCGACTATTGCGTCCCGTACAAAGTGGGACGCGGGCCCGGGGGGTGCGGGCAAAAGGGAAACGGCGATGCAGTGCAGATATCAAACTGGCACAATGCTCACGATCTTTCATTCTCAAACCTAGGTGGCAACACGCGCTCCCCAGCGCATTGACATCACAGTCCACAAAAACCACGCATCATGGACCGAAGCGTGCCATTCGATGGCTGGCGAAAGCACTGCATACTCGTATGCAGGTTACATCGTGCATCCTCTGCCCTCCACCGTGATCATAGTCATCGTGATTGATCGGGGTGTATCGGTCGCGGATGGTGCTAGTGATGCTGATGTGATGATGATGTGGAATAGTGTAGGCGATGCTGAAAATGATGGAGGTGATGGCGATTGCGGATGCTCATCACCGTCATGGTGTGTGTGAGCGACGCGATGATGATCATGATATTGATGGAGATCGAGATGTACCAGTCAATGTAATGGTATTGATGATGATGAGGTGCTAACATCATAATGATGAGATTGATGGTAATGATTATGATGATGATGGTGGATCTGGTGATTACGATGGTCATCAGATCTCTTAAACAGGATGGCGCCACGGTCGGAGCTTGACACCAGTGTAGGATAGAGAGGATGAGACCCATCTCCACGCGTCCTTAGTGATACTTTCCTAGGTCCTACCTCCTCCCCAATCGTTCATGTCCTCCCCCTCCCACCGTCGCCGTCCTCTCCCCTCCCCTACCTCCTCCTCGGACGTCGTTCAGGCCTTATGCCCACGTCCTCCATCCCTATCTTGAATATACTCGCCTCCGCGACCGTCATTGCGATCGAGAGGCCAGTGACACGGGCGTGGCGTCCCAACGGCTGCCAGAGCAGCGCAAGCCGAGCAATACTGGAATCACCCAGCGTCGAGTCGAGCCGAGCTCTGACCGACATCGATTATGTTCATCCTCCTGCAACATCCATCCTCATCTTTGTCACCGTCGTCATCGTCGTCGGTCGTCGTCATCGTGATCATCCTTCCTCCTTCACTCCCCGTTCTCCTCGGGGTCATCCTACCCTCGGCCAGTGCAAGGGGCGGTGCCCTAGCTGCCCTCCGCCGCGGCCATGGACGCGGCGGACTGCTGCGGAGAGGCAATCTCCTTCATGAACTCGATGAAATACACGCGGCGCTCAGCATACATATCCTGGCCCATCTTCCTGGGGATGTGGAGGATGGGGAAGGGCGTTACTTGAGCATCCATCCCAATACTGAGTATTGGCATGGACGATCAAATAACGATGAGGGTTGCGAAATGTGTTGCAACCCTGTCCTCGTGAGCACCTCCACGTTGTAGTTCAGGACCGCCTCCAGAACATTCTTTGGGGCAATCTTCATGGCGTCAACGTTCCAGTAGGGCTGCATCCAGATCCCCGCAAACTCTGTAGGCTCCACCTTCTTGGCCTTCTCCACGTTCACGTGGAATGGCATGAACAACCAACCCCATGGAACGTAGACGCACTGCTTGGGCTTCAGTTTCTGGACGATCCCAGCATCTCTCACCAGTTTCGCCGCCTCTGCCGTCTCCATGAACGCAGTCAGGTCGCCGAGAGACACCCCCGTGGCGAGGATATTGTCGATCGGGAGCGCCAAAAAGAAGAGATCCTCGGACAAGGCCTGCAACACATGCCCCACTCCAGGCAGGGACACGCACGAGCGCAGCTCCTTGAACGCACCGCGCAGCAGGATCGCTAGCCAAGGAGACGCCGCAGCATCACAACAGTCGATTGCGTCCGTGAACACATGATCACCCTCCACGCGGCCGTCGACCTTCGCCATGCAGCCTGTCCATTTCTTGGCGGCCGCGTGGTCGCTTGCCTCCTGCAAGCGTTCGGAGACATGCTTGTGGCACTTGGACTGGAAAGCGGCAACCTGCAGGCACACCGGAACGCACGAAGTGCGGGGCCACGGGCAACAAAGAAATGGGGAGGCGGGGTCGTCGATTATTGCACTACTGCGTTGCCCTTTTGTCTGTTTTCCTCCTCCTCCTCCTCGTCCGCCTCCTTCCCTGCCCCATCTGTAGTGCACGGGTCAATCCTATCTTCTGTCGTTCCCCCCCCCCTCCTCCTCCTCCTCCTCCTCCTACACGTTCCCAACCTCCTCGTTCGAATTATCTAGTCCCGTCCACTGTCCCCCCTCCTTTTCCCCCTTCCTCCCTTGGGCTCGAAGACCCACCGTGTTCCCTCTCCCTCGAGAGTTGCCTTACCCGGAACGACCGTGATGGGCACACACACGCACATACCACACACGCACACAACACACACACACAGCGTATTGCACCTGGCATGCGTTGCTAGGTAGTACATGTTTAAGTAACATGGGTATACATTGTACAGGTACGATGACATCAACCTAACACTTGATACAGACGCGGCACACACGTAATCCGAATGCAGCATTACACGCCACGCATCACACATTACGTGTGTTCCATGTGAGCACCACACATTGAATCTATGACAAAAAAAGTGACGCAAGTGTCAGTTTTTGCGTGCGGTGTCGTACTTCTGGTATGATATGTCCCATAGTGAACTAGCACACGACGTGTGTACGTATGTGCATAGTGAGTACACGTACTCCGAATATTAGTAAATAGCAGCAGGCTGTATGGACCCAACATGTACCCCTAGCATAACGCACAGCTACATTACAGCAGCGTCAAACACAGAAGTATAGTTTTATGGTGTACACATAAATGAACATACATAATCCGTTATGCCATATACGCGCATACATCATTAGGGTCCCTGGGGCACGCCCGTGGGTTCATTTTGGTGGTTGCTGTCATAGGCCTGTCGGTTATTTGGGCGCGCAGTGCAACACATCCTGGGGCATGACAATGGGTCCTTTCGGCACGGCAGCGGGTTCCCTGGGTTCTGCAATGGGGCACGGTTGCATGACAACGGGCTTCAGGAAACCATGAAGGGCCCAGCAGGAACGCAGCGCGTTGAAACGGAGACACACACACACGACGATGCATGAGTGTGTACGCGCATGCGCGCTAAAAGTTCACGCGGACCCTGCACGCGCAGACACCCGCACACACGCGCACCTAGATGTCCACGACGAACCACGCACCCTTAGGACATGTACAGACATGGTGACATAGCCGAGCGCAAACATAGGTACAGCTACACCATACTGTACCACGCACGCAGACACATCAACAACGCACTGTGCACACGCAAGCAAATACAGTAGACAGCGATACCATGAATTATGCAGAGCAGACGCCCAGACTCGAGCAGACAGGCAGGCGCACTGTCTCCTCAGTCCTCCTCCTCATCTTTCTCCTCCTCCTCCTCCTCCTCCTCCTCCTCCTCCTCCTCTTTCTCCTCCTCCTCCTCCTCCTCCTCCTCCCCCGTCCTCCCCTTCTTTGTCCGCGACGTCTTACCAGCGCCGCGCGGGTTACTTCAGCGCCCCGCGGGCGGCCCCAGCACCCCGCGGGTTAGTCTGACACCCCGAGGGTGCCCCCGCCTCTTGTGAATCCCAGCACCCCGCTGTGTGCCCCAGCCCCCCCGTGGGCCCGTGGGTTACCCCAGCGCCCAGTGGAGTCTTCCAGCGCCCTTTGGCTGACACGTGCGCCCTGCCGT